GAGAGAGAGAGAGAGAGAGAGAGAGAGAGAGAGAGAGAGAGAGAGAGAGAGAGAGAGAGAGAGAGAGAGAGAGAAGTGGTAGGGGCAGGGGTTGTCCGTCTCCCATTTGTGTGCTAGAATGTGCATTGTTGAGGCAGTTTTCAACTTTTCATCCTTGTGTAATTATGTGAAATCTGTTACTTGCAAACTCACAAACAAAAAACAAGACTGATAATTATTCGCAATTTTGTAGAAACAGTTTTTTTTTTTCTGAAAAACTTCAGGAAAAAAAAAACATTGATGGAAAGATCAAAGAGTAATCAGTACTAATCACTGATCAGTGGACGTAACGGGGCTTATGCTGTTGTGTGCAGAATCGGGACTCGTTGACGATTTTGGTGCTTGGGAAAAGTGGAGTAGGGAAGAGCTCCACAGTGAACTCCATTTTTGGGGAGAGGGTTTGTGTTGTTAGCGCTTTCCAGGTAATGGCTGTAAACTTGTCGTCAACCTGAGTTTCGTCGTGTCCTAGACTCTGTAACCACCCCCCCCTAACCCCCCCTACCCCCCCCACCCCCTACCCTTTCGAAAGGTGTAGCCCCTACCTTTTTTTGTATTCATGAGAAATTATTGAACTCTTTGATCTTTCGATCAACAGTAAAGTAATGGATCTGGGCAAGATGTTTGGCCTGTTGCAGCAGGTTCAGGATAATCAGTCTCCGTAAGGTCGAACATAATCTGTTTGACCCAACTTTCAGGATAATCTGTTGTGAAAAGAAAAGAAAACCTAGGCTACCAGCCGGGCCCCCTGGTCACCCTTTTTTACCGGGCTGCCTGGCCGCGCAAGGACCAGAGAAGGTCCCAGCAAAAAAAAAAAAAAAAAAACTATGTTATGCAGAAAAATAAACTGAACAACTTTTGCCTTAGGGTGACGTCAAAATTCTTTGTCAAATTTAAGATAAAAATATTAAAATAACCTGAGTGAGGACGTCGACCGGCCGGGCTGGGCCTGGCCGGTTGGGCCCGGGTAAACCGGGCGGGCCAAAAAACCGCCCAGAAATATATATTTATTTTTTTTGAAACCGGGGTCGTTCTGCGCTCGGCGAGAGGACCCCGAATCCGCGATTAAATTTTGATTTTTTTTTTCGGAAGGGGGG